TCAGCTGATAAATTCAACTTTTATATACTATGACATAACTAAATAAAAGTATTTCTTTTTTATATAAAAAGAGCGTCGTAGCTTATTACACTAAATTACTCCTAAAAGGACATGAGTTGATTTCTGGTCGTTGACTTTTGTAATTCATTGAGTGCAATTTAAATTTCTGACTGATTCTCTGGTGAAGGAAACACTGATCACTAAAAATTAATCCGAAAGAAAATTAAGCGCCAGGTATTTCTTTCAATCGATTGTTATATAGATACTGTATATACACGGGGTTCAAATGATTTTTTTTTCTTTGGTTATTGCAATTGCAGAGTAGAGATATAACTCGAAATATATTCTTATGTTATGTTACCTGATATATATTCATAGTGTAAGTTGTATGAATAATATGCCTTAAGGTAAATAAATCAACCGGTAACCAAACCAGTTCAACTCGGTGCTCTGAAATCCAGTTTCAGAAGCATCGACAGGACGAGGCTTAAAGTTATATCTTCGGCTTCGGGTTCGCATAGATATTATAGGGTTGTCACTGATATTTTTAGTTCTTATGTATCAGTTGGAATACCAATTTTACTTTGTTCTAAATGATATTATTAAAAATAGAGTTAAAATCCGTTGCATAATTTCATAGATCTAAGCGTACAGACTTTACTGCCATGTGGCGACCGCAGACTGGAAGACGCAGCGTGGGAAGGCCTTGGATAGCCATGGATGGCGTTGGATGCGAGTAGCGCAGGACCGATCGTCGTAGCGAATTTTGATGGAGGCCATTGTACAGCAGTGGATGTTTTCCGGGCCGAAATGATGAAGTGCACAGACTCTACAGTTTTTCTAGTATCAACCATGTACAAGCCACTATCGTTATTGTAAATATCTACACTAGGGTAAATCTCTATTTCTAAGAATGCCAACCCTATTCAACTTTGTCCGACCTGCTGCCGAATATCGCATTCTTCGTCCGACGTCAATTTGAAAAGTGGATAGTGGACCAACATTGTAGGTTGGAATAGTTTTCAGTTCCCCCGCAGTCGTTATGACGCGATCATCGTTAAACTTTTCACTACACGTGTGTTCAGTTGTGTTGTACTCGGATTGTCGTCATTGAGCCATTATGCACTAAACTACTGGAGAAGATAGTACGTACGACCGACTACTACTTTAATTGTATAAACCCATTATTTAGTATTTCTACAGCCTTTTTTCTTATTGATCGATATATAACCGACAAATTTGAACAGAAATGACCATGAAAATGACCATGAAAAGAAAATCCTTCAGTTTTAAGACTAAGTAAATACTTTGTTTCTTATATTTGAATTCTTAATTTCTTTCTATTCATTTTTCATTATTAAACTATTATAAGTACTTAGTTACTTTTGTATTAATTTATTATTAGAGACATGATAACTGAATTGAAGCTTTAACAGTTTAAGAGTTTAGTGGTTTCGAATGAAATTTTACGATTCACATTTTTAGTATCAGCTACAGAAACTTACCATTCGGTGATAAAATAGTATGTATAATATGAACTTTAGAATAGTATTTGTAACGTAGTAACTGAATGCATGGTATTGTGGTGATATCGCCGAAATTAATTTTGACTATAGCAGCGTCTTATCTATTTCATCCGTTTATACTATATCAATGATTGTGAGTTTATTTTATCCCTTCTGCTAGTTTAATGTAACTTAAAAGATAATGGAATACATGTTGTTTTATCACAGCTCACATGTAAAAGTAGTTAAACAGTTAAAATACATATATAACTTTTAAACATTTTGTGAGTATCATATACCTTAAAATTAGAAGTTAAATTTTTATTTATTTCTATCAGAAATTGGTACGAAGATACGTGTAGATAAATAAAAGAAAATACATAACTATACGATCGGTAAATATTACGCATACTTACTATAAGTACTATTAACATCGCTGTTCTGTCTACCCCATAAAGAATTATAAATTATGTATATAATCCTGTACGGATTATTAAGAAATGAATTGATAATTTTTATTTAATTCTATTACTTAGAATTCGAAAGAACACACAAAATACACGAAGCTGACTCATTAGCTTCATGTATTCTGTGTATTCTTTAAGTAAGGTAAGTGACAACTGTTCCGTATTTATACAATCAGCATCACAAAGATTACATCCTCATGCATTGCCATTCTGAAGGATTTAGGTACTAAGCTGCCGTATCCTGTATTTTCTCTGCTATACCATCCTCTAATTGAAAAACAGTTTAAAAAGAAACCACTTTACGGCTGACTGCAATGGATGACACAGAGGTTCACATGCTAAAGACATTATACAAAGTGTAGGTTTGTATTTAAAGTGTATGTGACCTTAGCATACTGAAAACTGATACCTATATTTTACTAATTTATTTAATATTAGCTATGCCCGCGTTTTCCTGAAAGAAATTTATAGACTATGTGTAATTTTGATGTATATATATATAACTCAAAGGTGACTGACTGACATAGTGATCTATCAACGCACAGCCGAAACCACTCGGACGGATCGGGCTGAAATTTGGCATGCAGATAGATGTTATGACGTAGGCATGCACTAAGAAAGGATTTTGATTAATTCTACCCCCAAGGGGATAAAATAGGGGATGAAAGTTTGTATGAAACTTTGTCAACTTTAAACCGATCAGGCTGAGACTTTGCATGGATAACGCTACTATAACGTAGGCATATCCTAAGAAGGATTTTGATAAATTCCACCCCTAAGGGGATAAAAAGATTTATACAAATTTTCATTCCCTAATGAAAATTTGTATAAATCTTCTTAGATTTTCGACTGATTGAACTGAAATTAAAGATTGGAGCTACTATGATGAAGACGTTAGGTTAAATAGCTTCGCTTTTATATTAAAAAAAAATAAAGTTAAATTCCTCGCAGACGAAGTCGCGAGAATAGCTAATAAGCTATATTACTGTAATATAGCAGTAATATAGCTTACTATTTTTTTTTTTTTTTTTTTTATACTACTATGGTGGCAAACAAGCATACGGCCCATCTGATGGTAAATGGTTACTAACTGTTCTCGCGAGTAACAAACATCCCCATCCATCTATCTCCATATAATATTAGTAAGGTAGTATAGTGAAATTACTATTAGTATTTATTCCAATTATTTTGTATACTATTCTCATTTTGTTAACGAAATGTTTATGTATAATGTATATATTGCTTGTTTTTATACTATATACATTTTTAGTATGTTCCATATGAATAGAAACGTTTCTAATATAGTATACGAGTTCGGTGAAACGTGTCAGAATGTGTGACAACTAAAGACGGTTAAGATCCTGTGCCCGACAGATTATTAATATCCGGCCCCACGCCTCACTAATAGACGACTCGGCTCTACCTAAAAGAAATTATATATTATTTCTTTTATGCTTTTCATTAAATGGCTGTTGTGGTTTAGCTGTTTGGCACACCGTCTTAATTTGCGGTACGGTCGCGAGTTAGATACCTCGCACGATATATTATATACTCAAAAATACAAATATTAATTAATTAATATACACCTAGAACTCATGTTCTAGGTGTTTTCTCTGTATATTTATTTAACTTTAATATACAAAAATAAAGTATACATATGGCGGACTTATATACATTATATACATATTTTGGAAATATATCTACAAAAAATGTATTCTAGTTTTTACATTAGTTGTCTAGTAACTGAAGCTCTGCTTAGCTTAGCACTATATGGTGAGTTATTAATTTAAAAAGAAACAACATTTAAGAAAACCTATATATTTTCTAGTCATTCGATTTTATAATAATATTCATATAAATTAAGAATGCAATAAAAAGCTCGTTGATATTCTAGTTCATCTCAGGACTATGATAAGAAAATAATGGGTACTAAGATAACATTAAAATAATGAATAAGCACTAAGTGAAATTGATTCTCAAGTGTATAGAAGTTATTGATAAGACTGAGTGCTTTAATAAATAATGGTTACTTAACATTCAGTTCAATTTTTAAGAAATATTATTTGACTATTATATACCTATTATATTTACGACAATTATTCCAAACGAGTATTGACTTCGGTGATATTGTTAACAGTTGAAATTATGATGGTATACATTTGGAGATGGTAGGGTGGTATTATGGTTAGGTATGGTAAGACGTGATAGGCTGATGGGGAGGGGAATAACGCCGTTACATTAACCTATATAATGAATTAGTTTAGTCTGTTAACGGTGTTTCTATCACCAGACACTTAGTTAAAGTTATAAATTGAAACACAGTTTTATTTCCATATATATTGTATGTCAATATTACAATTTTCAAGAGTTTCTATTAAAGTAACTAATTATGTGAATAGATAAATAAAAAAAGTGATTAGATTCGTTTTAGCATTACCACAGATAATATAATATTACATAGCTTTACTAACTCTACACGGGTAAAACCACGTGATTTATGTAGTAGAATATGCATGGTGCAGTTTGTGAATTAATTATGGTTACCTTTTTCCTTTAGGTCGATTATTTTCCGTGTTCATTTGTTGGTATTTTTAGAGAAATAATCATGATATTCTTAAATAGCAGTAGTAGTGCATTATATCTGTATAAAGTCGTTGTAACGTTACTTATCTAATCAAAATTATATCACTAATAATGTATCTAAATGTTTGTATAGAATAACAAACACTATCTTAGTTTTGTATCGATTACTCTTTCGAATACACCAGTATTTATCGATTAGTAACTATAAATTCGAATTTATTTTTTCAGTAATAAACTATAACAAAATAATGTAATTCAGTCGCAAAGTAAAGTGAAATGATGTTATAATTTAATTATAAAGTGTATTGTATTTTAAAATAAAAATTTTAATAGTACTTTAAACAAATATAAAAGTGACCGTAACGAAATGTATGTACAGTGAAATTAGAGTACAACTTGTTGATATTATAATAATTAATTTATATTATACATTGATATTATTTCTTACATAATTAGTAAGATGAAAGTGTATATATTAACTTTATTAATTGCTTCAAGTGTATTTCAATGTGATAGTGTTAAATTCACAAGATGTAAACTTGTCAGGGAATTGTTGAAAATTAAGTCGATTGACAAAACTTTCCTTGGTAACTGTAAGTATCTTGACTGATATTAAATGTATCTATTGGTAAGAAATAAACATTGAGTAAATAATAGGAGGCAGGGAATCAATTTCAATTCCCTAATATTAGGTGAGACATGAATACTACGATAAAATAATTAACTAACAACAATTATATATTATTATAAGTGTAGTATATGTATAATAATGTATTATATTATATAATATTATTATATCACTTTTTATGCCTTGATTTTTTTTGTTATGATTAATTTTGCACCGCCAACAATTTTTCTCTGTACTACCTATGGTTGACTGGTAGAAAATACCTCATGGTGTTCAGTCTGCCTAATGTACTGTTACTTTCGTACTGTGTGCATTAAAGTTAGATAAATAAATAAATAAAAACAATATGATACGTCTATACATATATGTATATATAATGAAAATAAGGGGGCCAATATTTTCAGCTTCTGTTAAATTATTATATAGAAGAAAACTGTATCTTAAATTTCATAAACATAAGAGATATAATAGAATAGAACCCAATGATGTTCGGTCCTCTCTGCCTATACATTAATGATCGTCGTTTGAAGATAAATATATACACACATATAAAGTTCGTTGTAAAATCTACCATAAAGTACCATGCTGAAATCCAGGTAAGCAGAATATGAAACTAATCTATTATTATCAAGAAAAAATTAGAAATTTTAATTTATATATTACTAGCTGTATCGATGTTTTCATTCGCATTTATGGCCTGTGTGTTCTAATGTATAAGCTATAATACTGTAAAGTTTCATCAAAATCCGTTTAGTAGTTATTGCGTGAAAGAGTAACAAACATGCCCATCTCATCTATCGATTTATACTCACAAACTTTCGCATTTATAATATTAGTAAGATGGGTAATCTCAGGGTTGTAGTGAGTGAAGTGGCGTCAATAAATAAAATTATTCATTTATGCTCTAGATTGGTCGGACTGTTATTATTGTGTTGTTTACATCATTTGTTTTGATATAATTTAAATTTTCTTAGTACATTAATCAAGTTTTCACGCGGTTTGTAAGAAGATTTTAACAATAATTTCAGTTTTCCACATTCCTTTTTTGAGAAAGTTAAAGTCACTGGTTTCTGGGATGGTATACTAATTACTACTATCTCTGTATAATCCAGTAATTGACTTTACAGAAGTTAGTTAGAGAGATAAATGAGAAACTCTCATATAGGTGTAGTTCATTTTATTTAGATATCGTTGACCTAATTATCAGAGAATCACCGGGAGCTCGAATGATACAAGTCAAGAGGTGGATTGTGTTTTACAATTAGTGTATTTATATACACCAACCGATTGATAACACTTCTATGTATTTATTTATTGACGATAATATTAATCTGGTGACGATTTAATGAAATTTTCCGTTGGTTATAATTTACTTAAAAAAGAATAAATCGCCGGTAGCACGATTTTTATACATTCCTAATTAATATAGCAGATCAAATTATATTACAAAAAAAATGTAAGTAATCTAATATGATATCCTATATCTTTTATCGTAGCTAGATTATGTTTGTAAATTAGCAATCGTCATTCAATATTTATTGGTTTCCAAATATATATATAATATATATATAAATATTTATATTTCCAAATATTATAAATTGAACTTCGTAACCAGAGGTTACGAAGTTCAATTTATAATGTATATATATTTATATTTTCAAGAAGCACGTGACACTCGTGTTGTTTTGGCGTCTGTATGAATATGGTAACCGTTTATCATTAGATATACCTCAGTATGCTTGGTTATGACATAATAGAAATAGAAATATAGAAATAGAAATAATCTTTATTCAAATAAACTCATTACAAGCACTTTTGAATAGTCATATTTTGATTCTACCACTCATTCGGAATGCAGATTCATCACAAGAAGAATGAGCAAGAAACTTGTGTGTTGCTCTTTTCAATAGATGTTTTTTTTTTTTTTATATAAATAATTACAGTGTAACAAGTAAGAGGCATGCGACAATCAACATAGAAATCGCTACGCACTCAATATTAAATTATATATAATAAAAAATATTTATAGTTTAAAAATATTTTTCAACAATCACTGGCTTGTTAACCGTTCGTGTCAATAGGCAATAGGTCAATAGGTAATGTAAATTTATGATATAGGTATTTACGAGTATGTTTATTATACATATATTGACAAAACCATTTTGTTTTTATTACTATACTAGCTGTACCCGCGACTTCGTCCGCGTAAAATAGTGACCTTGAGCAAATAATAAAAAATATATATTAATAATCTAACCCAATAAAAAAGTTTCATCGTTCTAGCTTCAAAAATGAAATTTCCATACAATTCAATCAACAGCCAAAAACTAAGTTTCAAACTACTATCTTTAAAATGAAGATACTTCCATACATACCATACATACATTACATCTCCCCTTTCAACCCCTTATAACCTTTTTTCTTGTTTTTTTTTTAATGCTACTTATATTAGTGTCATCATGTACCAATGATAAGATGTCGCTATACTGTAACCATTTATGGCTGAGTCCTGTGGCGGTAGGTACTGATATTTTCTCAACAGCCTAAAAAATGGGTTTCAAGTTTCTAGCTTTAAAAAATGACAATACATGCATATAACATTTTAACTCCCCTTTTGACCCTTACAACCCATTTTCGTTAATTATATTTAATCAATACGCAAAAAAATAAGATTGAAGATTAAACTTTTAAAAAATTCTTCATTCAGTCTCTTATAACCCTTTTTAGCGTTAAAAAGTAACCTATGTCCTATCTCAAGATCTAGACTTTAAATTTCATTTAAATCAGTTCAGAAGTTTTGGCTTTTAAGACAGACAGACAGAGTCACTTTCACTTTCATAATATTAGTAAGGTATTTATTAAATAAACTGACCCAAAAAAACGTAAGAAAAAAGCTTCATCGTTCTAGCTTCAAATATGACGAATTTCCATAAAAACTTTTATCTGCTATTTTATTTTACCCCTTGAATGGTGACAATGTGATATTTACAAATTTAAATGTCATATATATTTATATATAATAAACAGTTTAAACATTTCTTTAAATTCTTTTGTAAATTGGTGGTCCAGTTGGCCAATAACATAATAAAATTTTGTTAAATCAAAATAATAGATGTGATATTCTAAATTGCAAACTATCCCTCTACTTGCGCGAACCATATCTCTGACTCTACTGGCCAGAATGGAGAAACGCGTATTCCGAACCTGAATAGCTCGGATGGAACGGTAGATGTTGTTTCTTCCAAGGAAATGTTGTTCATATGTATTGACAACATTTTTAATATTATATGTTGTTTTATTCTTCAAAAATATTAATAATATGTTCTTACGCTCTTGTCCAAGAGCAGGGTCATCAGTTATAGGCTATACCAGGATTATATTTATGTATTTATAAAATAAAATTGCAGAGCAAACGTTTATTCATTTAAATTCATAAGGAGACAACGGATTGACAATAATCAGTTGCGCGCGCAACTTATACAAATGACATATATGTTTATTTATGACATATGAGCGTAAATAAGTCGCATATCTAGTACAATACTGGTGTAATTCAGAAATTAAAAATTTTTGAAAATAGACTTAATAACACAATTATAAAGTAGACTTTCCAAAATATCTAATTTTTTATTTAAGCCATTATTATAATAAGTGTGTATTCAACCGCATAAAGATAACCTTGCATTACCATTTTCAACCCCTTATAACCCTTTTTTCGCATTAAAAAGTAGCCTATGTCCTTCCTCGGTGTCTAGACTATATGGGTACCAAATTTCATTTAAATCAGTTCAGTAGTTTTGGCGTGAAAGCGAGACAGACAGACAGACAGACAGACAGACAGACAGAGTTACTTTCGCATTTATAATATTAGTAAGGATATGATAACTACTCTTCCAACTTTTTCCAATCCTTCCTTGATCTGACGATTCTGAACCGCTGCTTTCTTGTATCCGCTTTTATTCCATCTTCCTATCTTCGGAATTGCCTCCTGTGTTTCTATTTTATTGTACATTGTACATGACTGTGCGATTCATTACTTCCATTCCACTGCTCCGGAGAACTTTACGAAATGGCTTAAAATTACCAACTTAAGTGTTGATTCCTTCAGTATAGGTAGCATCTCCTACCATAGATTGGTGATCATTATGGCGATATTTATTTTAGGCACGGCGATCCTGAAAAGGGACCTAACCACGAAGTACGATATCTGCCTGGTCTTCGGCAACCTTTGATTTTTCTTGTATGATTAATTGCAGAAGACTGTATTTTTCATTTCGCAAAATATGATCCAGATCCAGCAGTTTACTGTCTATAAGCGTTATCTTATCATAAATGTTTTTAAGCGTCAGTCCAGACATTAACAAACACACTCACTCAAACTTATCAAGCTCAAACATTATATATATTAAAATACAACATTATAAAAGTACATATGTTCGCTGTTATTTGTCTAATTACCTGAGGCTCTATTACGCCGCGTATAATTATGGAAATACAATACATGTGACATTTCCATATGTAATTACAGTGGCGGACACCCAGCAAGTAACTGAAATAAAATCGTGTCGCATTAATATAAACAAAAAATCTGGCTAACAATTGGATAGTACTGGGTTCCGTATTTGAATATATTTTGTAACTGTGTAATGTTTTCTCTCTTGGTCTCCAGCTATTTTTAGGAAAAAATTTGAGGAAGGACGCGCTTTTTGAACATTATAACGGATCGGTGCACTGTATGGGTGTCTAAATGATGAAAATACATAGATTATGATAATAACATATATTAATATGCACTGCGAACTATGGTATAGACAACGTGATAATAAATCATCATCGCAGCCCGGAAAACGTCTACTGCTGGACATAGATCTCCACGACGATCGGTCCTGCGCTGTTCGCATCCAATGCTTTCCAGCGATCTTGACCAGTTCGTCGGTCCATCTTGCTGGAGCCCTTCCCACGGATAATAAATAAGGAGTAATAAATGACATGATAAACGATGTCAATCCTTACTGGATTGACATCGCAGAGGTAATATAGACATGAACATTGAACAACTTGGTAATGTGACTACAAAAAGCTGCTACTGAGGGTTCTAATTGAAACTAGCAGCACAATAGGGTTGATATAAATTTTATATTTAAAAATCTATAGACAGGATGTACTTTTTACAAGAACGCTATCTAGTGCTTAATATACTATAATTACTTGTGGTAATAAAGATCCTCTCATGTTGAATACAAGAGACGGTTACCACTTACCATCATCTGTCTATTTGAAATTCAATTCAAATTCAAAATATCTTTATTCATGCACATCTTTTACCGTCACTTTTATACTCAGCTGAAATTATTTTCAAATAAATGTTGTAAATGTTTACGATAATACAGATTCATTTCTAAATTCAAATTATAGAGAATAGAACGACCTCCAGCATATGCTATTGCAAAAGCAAATAGTCTAATCAATGTACGTAACCTTACGTAATTTGTTAGTCTAGTTACAGAAGTATACGGATCCATAACCATTAGAGGTATTTCAATGTACGATTAGGCCTTCCGTGTAAGGAAGTAATTATACCATTATTAAAATAATAATTACTCCTGATACGCGATTTTGCATGCACGGAAGTGTAATTTTTGATACGAAATTCTTTCTTTTTATTTTCAATATTTCAGACATGATGGCTAATAAAATTTATTTAAGGGACTAAATATATTTTTTTAATAATCTTAATAGTTTTTGAAAAGCTTGCTGATGCAAAGTTTAACACGTTGCCTCATGTTGGATGTTAGTTCTATTTCCAATTATTACAAAAAACAAAAGTATGTAGGTATTTATTTCTATATATTTTTATATATATGTTATACGGTATGTAGATAGGTTACAATGATAATAATCGGTCTTATTTGAGGATTTAGTAAATATGACCTAGGATAATTACAACTTTAATATTATTTTGACGGTCTTGGTGGTCTAGCGGTTTAACACAGCGCCGATGGCCGCGGGTTCAATTCCTCGCACGGAATCAACATTTGTATTCATGAATATGAATGTTTGTATCGGTCTGGATGTAGTATGATTATAATCATACACATGGATGTAGTATATATAATTATTATTATTTTGAAAGTAAAAAAAAACAATAAGTATAATTGGGATTGGCAGTAACAACCGAGACTTATTTTGCGGTTGTTACGAAAAAAAATATGAATGTTTGTATCGGTCTGGATGTAGTATGATTATAATCATACACATAGATATATTATATACAATTATTATTATTTTGAAAGTAAAAAAAAAACAATAAGTATAATTGGGATTGGCAGTAACAACCGAGACTTATTTTGCGGTTGTTACGAAAAAAAAAATACAAAAGAGATTTTCCTTCAGCAGGCTTACGCGGGAAACAAATCTGTTGATTGGAAGCCCCTAACTTTTTTATTCTACGTGTCTCGAATACAGGATCACTGTTTATGTACCACCATGTAGACTATAATAGAGCTGTCTTACAAACAAATGTTAATTCGTCTGTTAGTCGTTTATTTTTGATTTTAAATGCAAACATTTTTTTACAACAACACAATTGAGTAGTTATTTTATATAAAAAGTGTTAGTAAACACATAACATATTTAATGATTAATTATACCTATTTTTTACAAAATTAAATAGATATCTAATTATAAAAAAAACACTACTATTTTGTCAATTCTTTAACAATTTTATTGTGAATAGATTTTTATATTAGTATGTTTATGCAATTCGTAATACAATAGAGTACTTTCTTTTTATCTATGTAGTGAAAATAACAATTTTTGCTTCCAATTGAGTATTCGTTGTTAGGGATCAATAAAAGAATTGCGCTGACTGCAAATAATCGGATGGAGGCAAGGAAGTTAATTATTATCAAATCAATACTAAACGAAATTATAATAAATTAAAGCAAGTAAATTCGTGTTAAAAACATTTGTGAAAAATACAAATATAAATAGTCATCATATATATTGTGAATTAGCTCTAGTAGGAGTATATATTTTAATAAAAATTGCCAACTCTAATATATTTGTCTTGGTGGAGTGTGGCTGGTAGTTTATCTGCTTGCTATTTACGGTTGGTCATAAAACAACAAATTGACACTGTAAATAGTGTAAATTAATCAGCGGCAGTCCGTATGTCCTGATTTAAAAGTACAAAAATGTTCTTATGTTGAAAGTCGTAGATTTTCATTTATTTTTTAAATATGTTAAGATGATTTGATCCCCTTATAGATTATTCAGTTTCATATGAGCGTTTTTGCATATTTTGCTATCGGACGGTCTGCGTTGGTAAACAAATTACTAATTACTATTTTTTTACTATTACGATGCTTAATTTTTATTTTATTTCCATAATTCATATTTGACAGAGTGATATTAATAGAATGCGATGGTCAATTAGCAACAGGTGAAGTTATAACTAGTTTCCTCTCTTTCTCTCATACAAAAACAAGTTGAATAATATCTATGTTACATTATTCTATACTTACACTTAATTATTATACACCTCATAGTTCTACTTTTCGAAGTAAGGTGGTCACTTAACATCACGTAAGCGCAAACTCCCTTGCTCCCTTACTTCCTTGCTCCCATAAAAATTAAGTACCAATGTTGGTAGTTTTATATCTACATTTAGTATTAATACTTTAATTAACCTTTAGGTCAAATTGTGTGTAACGAAGCGAACAAGGGTTCAATTAGCAATAGATTAGCTCCCACGGGCCTCCTTTCAAGTTGCCCTAACTACGTAACAAAATCCTGTAAAGAAACAGTTAACCTGTTCTCTGAATGATTCATTTAGCGGTCACTGCGAAGTTTTGTGCTTGTTTTTTATTTTCCAAGAAATAATAATAAAAAGGTAAGAGTAGGTATGTATAGGGCTCGGTATTGAAAGTCTGTCGACTTAGATTAGTATCGGTGAATATTTTGTAATTTAGGTAGATACTAAAAACATAAAAGTTCAACATAATATAAAAATACATACGTGTATGCGTGCCTACTTTTAAGGCCGTTTTCTTATATGATATTATTTATTTATTATTTTCTTTAACCTAATGCGAGCTAGCTAGTAGTTCGGCTTAAAGTTTTTAATCTGTTATTATTTCATAAAAAATATTTTTGTTTATACATATAATTAAAACTGGATATAGTCTCTATTACTTTTTTAAAATGAGTGATACATTAACTTTTTTTTCGCATATATAACATTAGCGAAACCTAAAATTTCTAGGTAGCTAATTAGATCTATAATGCAGTACCTAATAAAAAAAAATATTTTGAAAGGTCTCAACCAAAATAGTAAAACAAGGTACATAGTTAATAGCGATGCAATTAGCTAATAGATTTACTGGGCAGGGTGTGTTTCATTTTCCGTTTTCCTCTAATTTAAGTTATGCCATCGTATTTGTGGGCGTCTATATATATATCCCTTTGTTTACTAACATCAAATTAGAGTACCTACGTACATTATTGTAGTCACCTAGCGGGCATAAAAAACCTTATTTAATTTATTAATAAAATACTACTTTTTAAGTAATGTATAACTAAAAAACGAGTGACACAGTTCGATGCTAGAAAAAATATGTCTCAGAAATTGTAACGCAAACCACTGTTACCACCAGAGCCAAAAGAAAGTACCCATTATTTTACAGATTGAATATGAATCTTTTAAAATTTAATAATAATACAATTAAAACTTTCCCAACTATATTGAAATTGTGACATTGCGGCGTCGTTGATTTATATGGCGCGTGTTAGTTTTGCTATTCAGCAGTTTTGGTTAGTGCTGTGCACTTTATATGTAACACGTATGACTACACATGTATATATATATAACAAACGATGAGCACTTATTATGTTATTTTTCACATTTATAATATTAGTAAAGAGTAAAGATAAAAAGATGGATTCAATTACATTTCCTCATTCGTTCTTGCCAACTAAGACTACGATAAGTCGTATAGTCTTGGTCGGCAAGAACTTTCTGCTTCAACTGCTTCTTTAAGCATATCGTCGGTTAAAAAGAAAAATGGCAGTATCAAAATGTATATCATTCAATCATTATATCAGAAGTAGATTTTGTTTACAGTCGTCTATCGGTATCTCACCTAATTTAAGATAGTGGCATTCATACATAAGACTACAATCAGGTAAACGGTTACCGTAGCCTATGTATGTCTGAAACATCAGGGTGTCACGTGCGTGTTGCTGACCCAATCTAAACCTTCGTATGCCATGTTGTTGGTATGTTTTTCGCACGTTATTCAACCTCCATTAGTAATTCTAATTCATGGATTGGCAATTACCACATTTTAGGTAAATAAAAGGTATTTGATTTACAGGGGTATGTTTAATAGAAAAGGAAAGTCAACGGGACACGGCTGCGTATCGAGAATCCGGCAGTAGAAAATACTATGGATTGTATCAGGTATTATAATTTTACATACGATATAAGTTTCAATGTGTTATTACAACTATTAAGGTTTTACATAGTGTATTGTTCTTTTATTATAGAAGTAGAAATAATCTTTATTCAAATAATCTTAATCATTCCTTGGTTCAGAAAGTACACATAAACGAAAACAAAATGATGTTACTATTATTAACTATTTATAGATACAAATTCTTAAAAAGCAATACATTATTTATCTATTTATTATTTTTATTACTTTTTTCTACTTCATATTCCAAACGGAATTTTCATAATAACGATGATTTTTATGAGAAGCATCAACGATGTTGAAATAATTGAATTTGTGAACTGTTTTAATCAACATCTGAGAGTCATAACTACTCCGAGATTCAACAGTCAATTAAATTAGTAAAAAGAGACAATTTCATTTCAAAAGTACTTTTTAATTGTATAGCTTAGTTTAGTGTTTTCATTGAAAATGGGAAAAATAGAAGAATATATTCAAAAATAGAAGTTGATTCTAAACAATTTTGTCTAATTTGACAGATTTTAATGAAGTCAATGATAGATATACGTGTACGTATTTGTAGTAATAAAGTATATTAAATATAATCTTAAATTTTACGATAATTGTGAAAAAAATATGCTAAAATAGCTATTAAAGCTGCTATTAAACTAGTTTCCTTTATGCTATGCAATTAGCTAATAAATTTACTGGACAGGGTGTGCCCTTTATCATTAAGTTTTAAAAATTAATTTATTTGCATAAAAAAAGTGTGTTCTCATTTTAAATTACTTTTTACAGATACCGCAAGTGTGGTGTAAAAATGGAAAACGTGGAGGCAAATGCAATATAGCTTGTGAAGGTAACTACAGTTAGTACAAATTTCACCGTATCTAAGTAAATAAATAAAAGTCTATAAATATTATCTGCACTGATATGGTTGAAGAACTAAATTATTAACTTTTAAGTACAATTTTGGTTCTACGAACACTATATAGAGAATGGTATTAAAAAATTCATTATCCATCTATAGGGCGGAAATAAGTAAAAATAAAGAAAATTGTAAAAAATAATATGTTACTTACATATTCTATAATAATTACTGTTATTTAAGGATATTTAAATAAAAGAACGGTTACTCACAAATAGGTAGATATATTAGGTTATATCATAGGGGTTTCAGATTCAGAGAGGATTTTCATGCACATTACTTTGTATTGGACTAATATCATTTTTAAAATGTTAAATTTTGCGCAGTATATATGTAAGGTGCAAACTATATATACCACAGGAAATAAAAGTTATTTAAAGGTACATTTATTTCTCTTGCAATAACTTGATTATGGTACCTAAGTCCAGGATCAACTACGTTTCAACTTGATCGGTTATAGTTTGCGGAGAAGTTGTAAATATTATGTCGCCTTTTATTTGTATCACATGTCGTATTTGCTGATATTTTATAGATTTTACCTATAATATTGCGATTCATGTTTTTAAAAATGTAAGGTAGATATATAAGGTACATAGAAAAGAGACAGATCATAGATATTATTGAGAATAGACGGGGGAAAATGTTGAGGCACTTGATACGACACGATGAACTAATTAATAACATTATTGAAGGAAAAATAAATGGAAATAGAGGGGGTGGAAGACCAAGACACAGCTATATAAAGCAAGTTTAAGAAAAATTTGGAGTCGTGTCGTATCAACGGCTAAAAGGACTGATAGAAGATCGTGAAAGGTGGCGGCTCCACCGACAAGAGCACAGCTCTTAAATTATAAATGAATGAATGAAGGTAGATACATAGATATATGCTTTATTTATAGATTACAAACACATAGTATTAATGAAAAATATAAGTATTATTAACAAGGAATATTTTATAGAAATGCTTCTACTATGTAGGGTATTTCTATTTCAAATTTGCGTTTAAGTTTAGCGCTGTGTTGTAATGTGTGCGGGTGAGAACGAAGAAATATGTTAGTATTACATGGTACGGAGGTATAATAACTTAGTTCTCAGAAAAAGCAAAGCATTGAAGGTGTATAGCATAGACGCAAAGCGTGCACGGACATTGTCATGTATACTGCGACATCCGTGATGTTGCTCGTGTCATAGACGACCTCTATCACGTTCCACACGATGAGCCATCAGCTTGTTTCTCTTTCTAATTTTATAAACAAGTCATAGATTTTTCAACGACAAAGATGAAGCACCTAAACAATAAGAATATACACGAAGAAATGTTTTTTATCTTCCATAATATAGGCGTGTATCTCTTCACAAAATAACACAATTTCCCAATGGAATAAACAAAAAAGTCAGGAACATTTTTGGCGGGAAGCCATTAAGAATATTTCGGCGTTTATATTTTCTAAAATTGTATTATACTGTATGTTATTACAGTGATGTAATTTTGTGTAATAGGTGTCTGTAAGCACAAGATATGTTACAATTATGTACATACATATATATTAAATAACAAATAAAATCCTTCAACATTCATAATATTTTTGGAATTAGACTTTAAAAATAAAACTTTAAAGTTGTTTTTCCGAACTTTCTAATATTTGTGTACGTACAGATAAATTCATAGAATTTAAGGGTACCACTATTGTTGAAGTCATTACAATAGAGGAATTAAATTTATTCTGCCGTTTAAGTGCGATTTATAGATATTTATTAATCAATCACTCTTAAATAAACTCGCACATTTAAAATATTAAGTAAACAGAGCTAAATTACACAAATAAGCTCACTTAATATAATAACTTTGAGTTATTTTCTTTTAATATACCCCTAATTCGAAATACGGATTTAACCAAGAAGAATGAACATGAAACTTGCCTGTTACTCTTTTACAACAGTTAATATTTTACAACTTTATATTTTATATGTTTTCTTATGAAAGGAGTATTATATAGCACTAATTCACAGGAGTATAATAATAATTATATAGTCTCACACTTAATGATAAAATAAATCAGAAATAGTTATCAAAATAAATCAGTCTCTGCAGGGAGGATTTTACAATAGGATTTTAGATGTTGATGTAATAAATAAAAAAATACTTTTACACAACACTCAATTTTTATTTATTTTATTAAATAAAACAAAACTTGTAATTCCTACTTTGTAATTTGACAAGAGAGTTGCACAATGCATTTTACAAAAACAATATATTCTATTCTCGACCGAGTTGTAGTTTATAGTGACTGTTTTCACAGAATTAAATTTATTGAAATGCTCATTGTTCAATATTGTTTATTCGATTAAAACAGATCTGTTCTCGATTAATTCTCTTTGTACCGTGTTAATTGTATGTAATTTGTTATGCCATTTTATTATTTTCATAATTATATAAAAAGTTAGAATCTCTCAATTCCACTATTATTTAATATACTGTATTCTTGTAGAACACAACATAAGTGTTTACAATGCAAAACAGAAACAAAATTACACACAAATTACAAAATTACAAATTAGCAATATATGTATGTATATACCAATTCTATAAATACTTTAGTGATTCGCTTTTAATTCAACTACTTCCTAAATAACCACGTTTTGATTGTATGTCAAAAGAAAAGAAAAATCAGAAATATGTTTAAAACTGTACAAACAACAATACTTTTGGAATACAGTATACATAAAATAGTATTTAACTTGTATTTACATGGAAATATATTTTCTTATGACAGATACAGAATCTTGCTTTTAAACAGTTCAAATCTGAAGTAATTCTGGGAAACATAATTCTAACAATAGTAACAAAAGCTGGTAACAAAATGCTCCTGGATACTGGCCGCTTAGTAACTCAGTCAATCTGCTTCAAGTTAGAATTTCCACTAACTGCTTCAAACGTCCCTGATCATCATTATTCGGAATTAATACTATTTTATTAATTGTAAGCAACAGTTATTCAGAGCATATTGAATCCTTTGCAATTTACATTACAATAGTACAATATAAAGTCGCTATTGTTATCTGTTTTGATTATCATTTAGAGACTATCTTCCAGAATGTTTATATGTATACATATATGCACCTCCTTGTCATAGTTACTCTACTACTATAACCATACTCCGTCCTTTATGATTAGAATAAAACAAATGCAAAATTTTAAGTGAGACTTATCACAATAAATTAGTGAAAACTGAAACCGAATCCGTTGAGCCATTTCTGACATTTGTACGCAAAAGCGCAGATAAACAGACAAACTTCCATTTAAGTCGAAAAAGATCTTAATAATAGTTTTTCTAATGTTTTCTATTCGATTTCTATTTTCATATGTATGGACAAATGTGTTTAAGAAATTCTTGTTTAACCCAACTCGCAGTCTCCATTTATTTCTGTGTTTTCCACTCGCTAGTTTTAGTATCCAAGCGGTCAAGTGTTCAATCGGAGAGCGGTACGATATTTTTGTTACCCCTGGGTGACTTTACAGAAGTGCCTTGTTGTTTGTTTGTTGTTACAAAATTGTTTTTAAATAGAATGCCATTGAAAATCAGTATATAGAGATATAACATAGTAATCCTCACGATTGGAAACTAATAATACATTAGCTTATAGATTTACTCGTAAATAAATTACATTAGAATAAAAATTCATGCAGTAGTGAATACTGGATATCTGATTTATCATTTATATAACTGGAAATACTAGTGAGCTGATAGCTGAGAGCCTACCTGATGATTGATTAGACACATCCATACAATTGTGACCGTCTTCTGTAAATAAATAGGTAAAGGCAATGCGCACGTGACATTTCTGGTGGTTTAGGCGTCAATAGGCGACGGCAACCATTTACCATCAGATGAACGGTATCATGTATGTTTGTTTGGAACCATCGTATAATTTAAAATAAAATCGTACTTTTACAGCCCTTTTAGATGATGATATCCGTGATGACACAGAGTGTGCAGTTCGAATCTATGAGATGGAAGGTTTCAAGTACTGGTCGCAGTGGATGCAGAGGTGTAAAAATGATAATTTCATTACTAGTGAAATTTACAAGTAAGTATAATACTTTATCTCGTAGTTTATGTTCTTTTTATTTCCAAATTACTCCAAAAACTGCAGCCACAGCTAGTATTTACCAGAAAAACATGGGAGCAAATGCAGAGCGGACTTATTGACTCATTTCAGAAGGACTTATGGAGCAACTCCTGTCTGACCGATAGAACTGTAGTCTGAGAGCATCGTCAGGAGTTTAAACCTCGGAGAAATAAAATATTGTCCCTATATTTTAGGACAATAATAAGACAAATACTTAGGTTAGATTGGTCCAGTGAAGCTTTAAAGAATATCTGGTGTCAGAAGCTAAAGAATGATCTAGATTTCCTTTTATGAGTTAGCAGAGAATTCAAAACCAATATACTTCTACACTATAATACATATAGTATTCTTTATCCAATTTATAACATTTAAGTATTTCTATCTATAATCTAGTACCTATTACACAAACTCTGCTTAGTTTGGGATTAGATGGCGCTGTATGAACTATTCAGGTATATTAATATTATTTATTAACCAAATTATAAATACACCAGTTCTTGACAATCTTGACTTCTGCCTTACAGTAACCTATCATCTGGTCATGATGGTATAGTAAATCAAAATATACGTAACATGGGCTTACGTACCTAGTACTTAATAATTCTAATACTTTTCCCAATGTGAAGCCGGGTCGACAGGCATATGATATAAAATTATTTAGTAGATGTAGAAATGGTAGGTATATACTCTGATCATTTATTTCAGATGTCCAGACTTAAGTTCGCCTCGGCTTAGCAGTGAAAAAGATCTGGAAGAAAAACTTAAGCTAAAAAGACAACAAGAGCAAATGAGAAATCACTCCGATTTGAGAACATACTATGGCTTAAATTGGTTCTTTTAATTTAAAAAAAATAACTAAAATACGTTTAATTTCGCAACAATGTGAATTAGTATTTAAAAAGAAAGTAAATTTTCTTTGTTGTGATTAAATAAAAAAATCAATCGATTTTATAAATTCTTTCACCAATTTGAAAACTATATTATAAGCGAGTAAGTAGAAGCTATATTTTAATTCCAATAAATTTAGAAATTACTACAATGAATGCACCGACGCATTGTAATTGATTATCGCTAGAAAATAGGCGATTAAGTATAAACAAACTGCTAACTAAACATTATGGAAAATATGTCGGATTGTCCACTTCAGAGGCACTGAACATCATTGAACTGCTGCGGACCCAGTGCACCTGGACGTGGACGTAGATATACGAATTGAAATAACAAGGTGTTAACTACCAATATCAACTTTAATACAAGGATATATATTGTAGTTTACTAATATAGTTTATATGTTGTTTGCTAACGTAAAATGGATGGATATCCAAAATAAATGAACGAATCAAAAAATCAACAACAAAATAAAATTCTAATTTCAAATATTCAATATGCTCTTAGGTGATCGATAAATGCCTTCCCGTTATATTCCTCTAACATATTTTATTTACAGTGTTTTATAAATATCCCGAGTATCACAATATTACAAAGGAATGGTTATAGAATAACTTAAAATGTAATAACTAAACTAAACATCTCTCCTTGCAGTAAAGGGATTTTCGGATTCAGATTTTTCTGTCGAATATTTACTTACTTCACTTGCCTTATTACAGTCGCGGTTTCGATTACTAGCACGTTGCAAACATTTAATATAATAATAATAACATCTCAGGACAAGTCATATAGCATCATCCAGTCCCAAGCTAAGCAGAGATACATTTTTTGTAAATACATACATAATATATGTAGAAAATACTTACACCAATACAAACATACATACCATGCAACAATATACCGAGCGAGGAATTGAACCCATGACCATCGGAAGTAAAGCGGTGTGCTAAACCACTAGACTACCAGAGCCTATATTCGTGATTGGAATTTTTTGTTGTCTGGGTGTTTTCTATGTAGGTATGTTATGTGCATATGAAAAATAGTATATAAGTATTTTTCTTTTTACATGCATCCATAGCTCTGTTTAGTTTGGGATTAGATGTTGTTGTTTGAATTGACATGAGATATATATTACTAGCTCACCACCCAAACGTTGTTTTGCCATATAAATTAAAATTGCTATTTTAAAATAGGGGTTAATGATAGAAGGGTGAAAATTTAGTGTTGTATGTATTTTTAATGCCACATTACAAAATAAATATCCATAAAATAAGAAAAAAATGTTAGGGGTGGACCCTTATCACTTAGGGGTATGAAAATAGATAGTAGCCGATTCTCAAACTTAATGGATATGCATATAAAATTTCATAAAAATCTATCTAGCCGTTTGGAGGAGTATAGTAACTAGATTTTTTTATATAAGATTACGATACTTTAGTCTTCTGAAATAGGACTTCTATTCTAGATTCTAAAGAATGAAGGGGTACTACTAACGTCACAATGGTTGTCACTTACCACCACATGTACGACAGTTTGTTTACCATTCCAGTTAAATGTAGAAACTATACCGCTACAACATTTGCATAAAGTTTGTCATCACTATTTCTTTATAATACATTTAAGTGAAGTCCAGATTTGGTACGCAAAGTACGAGTACATTACTGCTAGCGTTAACGCTTCACAACTTCGAAACAATAAATAAACTTTGTTGCCCGCTACTTGATATTTCTTCAGAAAGACGGATAGTTTCAGAAATAGTGGACTAGTATTTTATTTGTAAAGATATCTCAGCAAACTATGGAGGCCAATATACAATTTTTCAAGTGCACGCTGAGTGGTGAAATTGTTCTGTTCTTGAAAAGTAAAAGAAGTATCTACCGTTGGAGTAAATCTTTAGATATCTAGATATTACGCTAAAATTATTTGAAAAGCTATCTACTTAAATTGTTTTTACATTTAAAAAACTTAATTTAAAGTTGTTCACATTTAAACAACTCTAAATTAAGTTACTAAATGTTTCGATTATTTAGTTTGTAATTGTAAAAGTTATTGAGTTAATAAAATCAATGTGTTTTAAAAATATGATAATATGTGGAGGCATGACGGCGAAAGAAGCAACTAGACTTTGTTTAAAATCTTTCACGAATAACAAAATTTCCAAACTTAGAGCCATGTAGAATATTTATGAAATAACCAAATTCAACAAAAAAACAAGGTGATAATGTAAAAATAATTGAACATTTGCAAACATAATATAAACAATATATTTACTTTATTTGAGACTTATTTAATGTCATATTCTGTGAATATTGATCTTTATTATTCCAGCAGATTTCACTTTAACGCACAAACAGACATATAGATAAACATACAGTTTTATTTAGTCATGATTTTTATAATATGTAAAATAAAAGAAAAGAAAAGAATGAAGATTCTCATTTTTATTATTTTACTATGTCTTAGTTTTGCTTTAGTTTCATAACTAGGTACTAAGTATCACTGGCTTACGGCTTGGCAGATATAATTTATATTATATGTTTCATACACTACCTTTTTAGCTTTGCATTTCAATTGCCATTTTTACAATCGACGAAGTTTATCCAGATAGAGAACTTCAGTTTAAAATAGCAGTTTTAAAATACTTTCAAGTGGAACAGCGAAGAATTTCAGACAATGCAGTCAGCTGTCGATGGCACATCTGCGCGTTTCCGCATCACGTGATATGTTTCAAGAATAATTAGAACGTTAGGTGTATTTTATAAAGGTAAAATAAACAATTACTCTGAAATGAAGAAATAATAATAATAATGCCGAATACATGCATCACAATGCAAAAGTAAGCAATCAAATTAAATTTATTTGCGATAAACATAGGTTTATATTGGTTGTCATTGTAGAATATAATGTCCTAATATGTTTTTCCTCATCTGGCAATATTGAATACCTGTCCTATATATATTGTGTAAGTTTTTACAGGAAGATTGGTATGATCTTGGTATGACCCTAACTCTAAATTAACCGAATAATTTCTTGAAATAAAAACAACCTAAAAAATTATAATAATAATATTTATGTACAATTCATACAGCGCCATCTAGTCCTAAGCTAAGCAGAGCTTGTGATAAGGGTACTAGACAACTGATACATATACATAGATACTTTTTTTGTAAATACATTTATAATTACATAGAAAATAATACCCAGACCAGTACTGTTTCTATCATACCCAGAAATATAAATATTTGTACCGAACACTGTTCGAACCCGCAACCATAAAAAAAAAAGGCGGTGTAAACCGCTAGAGCCCATCGAGGCCGTTCGATCAAAATTTCTCAATTTTTTAATACAGGTATAAAAAACTAGTGTAAGAAAAGTTTGGACTAAATATTTAATGTATATAAGACACTGGACAAAAAAAATCTGTCTAGTTGTTGATTTTTATGTTTTTAGTTTTTTATGACGATGAAGATGCACTAATGGTGGATGATAGGATGTGAACAAATGAAGTCTTGAACAAAGCGACCGTGAAACTGTGCCATATAAGGCGTTAATTTCTGGGTAATATATTTAGGTTGCCGATCTGATGACTAAATCGGGGTAATTATAGACTATACTAAGTTTAAAAATTACAATACCCAAGTGGTAATAATTTTATTAAGAATATTTTCCGTTGTTCGTCGTAAAAATTTTGTTTCATCATCATCGCAGCCCGGAAGACGTCAACTGCTGGACATAGGTCTCCCCCAAAGATCTCCTCGACGATCAGTCCTGCTCTGCTCGCATCCAATGCCTTCCAGCGATCTTGACAAGATCGTCGGTTTTGTTTTGTTTAAGTTACATGATATACTTTTTTAGCTAAATTAATATAATAACTATACTATAATGTATGAATATACGCTGAAAATACAGTGAAAAATACCACAAAAAATATTTTCTTTTTTGTGCCATGGTTTTTAATAAATATGTACAGTGTTATATCTGCGAGAATATTTGTAAGGCAGCTAATAAAACTGTAGTGACGCAGGTGTGTTTCGAAGAGCTCATGAGAAATAAATACGATGTTTCTTCAACATATCAGATTCTACTCAGTCTTATAATGCCTAAGACGCTTCGTCGAATATCATAATAATAATATAATAATAATCTCTGGACAGGAATAATACTTGGGTATGTGATGGGTACTAGATTACTGATAAAATACAAATACATAGATTTTTTTTTCGTAAGTACATATTATACATAGAAAACAGTCCGATACAAACGATTATACTCACGAATACTAATGTCTGTGCCGTACAAGGAATCAAACTCACGACCATCGGAAGTATGGTGGTATGCTAAACCGCTATACCACCGAGGCGGAATATATAGATTGCATATAATTAAGTAGTCTTTATTTGAACCGACAGACAAATTAGGCCGACACAAAAACTTTCTATATAGAATCCAGATTAATCCGAAAGGCATTGTCTATAGTAGGCTGCTTGATGCAGATATTGTGCAATAGAATCAAATGCACTGAAACAACAATCGATTTGAAATCCATTTCCTTTTTATAGTAGCTTGAAATCAATAAATTTTATTAAATTCCACATAATATGTCGACATTATTCGACTTTGCTTTTATAAAGCAAAATACAGAGTCCTTTGTTTTGTAAGTAGATACCTATTCCAATAAAATGGAAGTGTTGTGACGCAGGTGTGACTCGACTTGTGTCGTTGTCTCTACAGGCTCCCAGAGGAAACACTCGTTAACTTAAGATAATGCTGTTCCCTTTTAATTCGGCACGGTTGTATATTTCTACAGATTGCATTGCTATAATGGAAATAAATATAATCTGTATTTTAAAACATTGATATGTTATATCCGTCATACTCGTGAACGGATGCTGCTTGCTTAACTGGAATGACAAACAAGATGACTTCTCAACTAGTGTTCAATACAGATCAAATAAAAAATAATTATATCAGATTTAAATCAC